TCAAATTGCCCAGGATTATTTCAAAATCTTAAAAGTTGTTTACAAACAACTTCCCTTGCTTCTAAAGCACAGCAAATACCTACTACATCATTTATAAAATTTGAAAAATGTTTTCCAGATAAAAACAGATTCAGTTAGACCTTTTTGGCTTAATTTACCAAGCTAGAATTTAGTGACATATACAGGGTGAGTCATTAAGCGTTAAAGTTAATAATTAAAATTATATCATTCTTGAAGTAGTATGCACCAAAATTATGTTCAATTATACAGAGAGTTCTATTTCTGAAACCTAACGTACAACCTACAACTCTATTTTTTGTTCTCTTTCTTTCGATACGTCGGTGTCTCTCTTAAAAAGGAAGCGAATAAAAAACAAAGTAAAATGCTATAATAAAACAGAAATATCAATATTTGAAAATTCTAATGTTCCAGAATTTTTTTATAAACACTCTATACATTAAGTCTCACTTTAATCGACCTTTATTTATCCCCCCACGAAATATTGTAACAGAGATTGTAAAAATAACCCAGTTACGATTTTTTTGCGACGTTTTGCATTGCTCAAAAATTTCAAGGAAACTGGAATAACGTGGCAACGCCGCGCCGCATCGGAATTTCAAAAATAAACGGAGGTTTTACAGCCGTTGCAGGATATGTACAAATATATACAACACACTGTATAGTTGAAAAGGATTCCAATGTATACTACTCAAAGAGCGGTACAACTTTTTTTCGACTACTTTACAGAGTGTTTTGTTTTCAGAGCATAGCAACTTAGTTTTTTTTTAATAGAATACCCACCCCACATACTTTACATATTCTGATTGGTTGATAACTATGGTATATTTTTGAAGTTCCGATGCAACGTTGCCAGGTTATTCCAATATTTCCAGATTTTAAATATTTGAAAGTATCTAGAAAGTGTGAAAAATCTATAAAGACCTAGAATCTTGAAAACTGAATAAAATATTGAATTTTGGCGTATCCGAAGACTAATATTTTTATAATATTTGGGAAATCTGAAACTTTTTGAAATTCTAAAGATTCCAAAAACTCTAAACAAAACAAAAATCTTGAAAATCTAAAAATCGTAAATATCTGAAGAATGCTCCCTTGAATTTTTTTAACCCTAAAAGCTCTAGAGGTCCTGAATACCCTCATTATTATCTTATAAATCTTAGAGATTCTAAAGAATTCAAAGGTTCCAGAAATTCTAAAAATTTATAGACTCTTGGGGTCTGTAGATTTTAAATATTTGGAAGTATCTAGAAAATCTGAAAAATCTGGAAAGATCTAGAAATCTTGAAAACTGAGGAAAATATTGAATTCTGGCATATCCGAAGACTGCTATTTTCATAACATTTGGGAAATCTGGAACTTTTGGAAATCTTAAAGATTCCAAAATCTCTAAACAAAACAAAAATCTTAAAAACCTAAAAATTGTAAATATCTGAAGAATGCTCCTTTGAATTTTTTTAACCCTAAAAGCTCTAGAGGTCTTGAATACCCTAATTATTATCTTACAAATCTCAGAGATTCTAAAGAATTCAGAGATTACAAAAATTCTAAAGATTTATAATTTGATTAATTTGGGGTCTATAAATTTTAAATATTTGGAAATATCTAGAAAATCTGAAAAATCTAGAAAGATCTAGAAATCTTTAAAATTGAGGAAAATATTGAATTCTGGCATATCCGAAGACTGATATTTTTATGACATTTGGGAAATCTGGAACTTTTGGAAATTTTAACGATTCCAAAATCTCTCCACAAAACAAAAATTTTAAAATCCTAAAAATCGTAAATATCTGAAAAATGCTCCCTCTAATTTTTTTAGTCCTAAAAGCTCTAGAGGTTCTGAATACATTAATTATTATCTTATAAGTGTCAGAGATTCTAAAGAATCCAAAGTTTCCAAAAATTCTGAAGATTTATAGGCTCTTGGAGTATATAAATTTTAAATAAGCATTTGGAAATATCTAGAAAGACCTGGGAATCTTGAAAATTGAGGAAAATATTGACTTCTGGCTTATAAGAAGATTGATATTTTTAGAACATTTGGGAAGTCTGGAACTCTTGAAAATTTTAAAGATTCCAAAAATTGTAAACAAAACAAAAATCTTAAAAATCTAAAAATCGTAAAAATTTGAAGAATGCTCCCTCTAATTTTTTTAGTCCTAAAAGCTCTAGAGGTTCTGAATACATTAATTATTATCTTATAAGTGTCAGAGATTCTAAAGAATCCAAAGTTTCCAAAATTTCTAAAGATTTATAGGCTGTTGGAGTATATAAATTTTAAATAAGCATTTGGAAATATCTAGAAAGACCTGGGAATCTTGAAAATTGAGGAAAATATTGACTTCTGGCTTATAGGAAGATTGATATTTTTAGAACATTTGGGAAGTCTGGAACTCTTGAAAATTTTAAAGATTCCAAAAATTGTAAACAAAACAAAAATCTTAAAAATCTAAAAATCGTAAAAATTTGAAGAATGCTCCCTCTAATTTTTTTAGTCCTAAAAGCTCTAGAGGTTCTGAATACATTAATTATTATCTTATAAGTGTCAGAGATTCTAAAGAATCCAAAGTTTCCAAAATTTCTAAAGATTTATAGGCTGTTGGAGTATATAAATTTTAAATAAGCATTTGGAAATATCTAGAAAGACTTGGGAATCTTGAAAATTGAGGAAAATATTGACTTCTGGCATATAGGAAGATTGATATTTTTAGAACATTTGAGAAGACTGGAACTCTTGAAAATTTAAAGATTCCAAAAATTGTAAACAAAACAAAAATCTTAAAAATCTAAAAATTGTAAATATCTGAAGAATGCTCCCTATTATTTTTTAGTCCTAAAAGCTCTAGAGGTCCTGAATACAGTAATTATTATCTTATAAGTGTCAGAGATTCTAAAAAATTCAAAGGTTCCAAAAATTCTAAAGATTTGTAGACTCTTGGGGTATGTAAATTTTAAATATTTGGAAATATCTGGAAAGACCTGGGAATCTTGAAAATTGAGGAAAATATTGACTTCTGACATATCCGAAGATTGATAGTTTTAGAACATTTGGGAAATCTGGAACTCTTGAAAATTTTAAAGATTACAAAAATTCTAAACAAAACAAAAATCTTAAAAATCTAAAATCGGAAAAATCTGAAGAAGGCTTCCTTTAATTTTTTTAGGCCTAAAAGCTCTAGAGGTCCTGAAAACCTTAATTGTTATCTTAAACATCTCAGAGATTCTAAAGAATTCAAAGATTCCAAAAATTCTAAAGATTTATAGACTCTTGGAGTCTATAAATTTCAAATATTTGGAAATATCAAGAAAATGTGAAAAATCTAGAAATCTTGAAAATTGAGGAAAATATGGAATTCTGGCATATCCGAAGATTGATATTTTTATAACATTTGGGAAATCTGAAACTTTTTGAAATTTTAAAGATTCCAAAAACTCTAAACAAAACAAAAATCTTATAAATCTAAAAATCGTAAATATCTAAAGAATGCTTCCTTTAATTTTTTTAGGCCTAGAGGTCCTGAAAACCATAATTATTATCTTATAAATCTCAGAGATTCTAAAAAATTCAAAGATTCCAAAAATTCTAAAGATTTATAATTTGGGGTCTATAAATTTTAAATATTTGGAAACATCTAGAAAAGCTGAAAAATCTAGAAAGATTTAGGAATCTTGAAAACTGAGAAAAATATTGAATTTTGGCATATCCGAAGATTGATATTGTTAGAACATTTGGGAAATCAGGAACTCTTGAAAATTTTAAAGATTCCAAAAATTCTAAACCAAACAAAAATCGTAAAAATCTGAAGAATGCTTTCTTTAATTTTTGTAATCCTAAAAGTTCGAGAGGTCCTAAATACCCTAATTATTATCTTACAAATCTCACAGATTCTAAAGAATCCAAAAATTCTAAAGATTTATAGACGTATTTGCGACCTCTGCATTGCTCAAAAATTTCAAGGAAATTGGAAAACGTGGCAACGTCGCATCTGAATTTGAAAAATAAATGGTGGTTTTGTTGAAAAAAAGAACAAGTGATGTGTTACGTCCTAAAATCAGAACACTCTGTACAGTTGAAAAGGATTCTAATGTATGCTACTCAAAAACCGTACAACTTTTTTCCAGTACGTATACAGAGTGTTTTGTTTTGAGGATATAGCACGCAACTTCGTTTATAGGATACATAATATACCTACATATTTTTGTTTTTGAAGTTCCGATGCAACGTTGCCAGGTTATTCGAATTTGTTCTTTTTTTAGGAATACAAGGGTTCACAAAAATTATAGCAATAACGTTATTTTTAAGATCTGTGTTGCAATATTTTATGAAGACATACACAGAGGCGCACTTTGCTAGAGTACCAATTAAAATATATACAGAGTGTTTATAAAAAAATTAAACCCTGCAATTTCCAAATCTCTATATTTGACTTTTTTTAAAGTAGAACAGCCTGTATTTTATTACATACTGCACCTTACTTTATTTTTTATACAATATGTAATAAATAATAATATACAGGATGACTTTCCAAGCACTAATTTAAATGATTTGCTTACGCTTACTTTTATGAAAAAAATTATTATAACCATTTTTCCGGAAGTGGCATGACCTTATTATTCACATTGATATTTTTTCAGTATATCTGGTAGAGTTTTTTTGTAAAATTTTGACATCTTTTAAATATTACTATTGAACTTTTTTTATAATTAAGCGTTTCTTAATTTAAAATTAGGTTTGAACGGGGATGACAATGAAGATCTGGCATAAAAATAAGATGCTTTAAATATCTCCGAGCATGCAAAACTGGCAACATTTGTAAAAAGTAAAGACTGGAATGGAGGCATAAGACAAAAATTGACTAATTTCATAGCAATGTCGGGTGTAGCGAAAGCTTGAAACTATGTCTTTGATTGTATCCAATACTCTACAGAAAACACAAGCTTTAAAAATACTGTCGGAGTTTGCCTCCAAAATTGCCACTTACTTAAAAAGGTAACTCCGAAGGCTACACCGGGCATGGTTGTAGGCGGACGTCTGCGATAATGGTGAGCCACGTTGTAGATGTGCTGGCCTTAAAAAGACACGGAGGAGTAACACCGCAGTAATACAATTCAGTTCAAACTCTACCATTCCATAAAATTTGCATTCAGAGTTGACTGACATTAAAAAAAAAATTGACACACATATTTCACCGCATATGTGTAATATTTATAAATTTAAATCTCTAGGGTATTTGCTTACACAAAATGTTACTAAAACAAACAAAGCGATTTATTAGGTTTGATAAAAATTTTCCTTCCGATGTGATAGATGGCTCGGTTTTTTCGAATTTTTAAGTGTCATCTGGCAACATATTTATAATTTGTCAGTCTGAGTCATGATTATTTAAATTTCTTTGAATTTGTTGCCGTCTAGCTGTACAGATTTTAGTTTATTTAAATTCTCTGCATTGAAGTTCTACTTATCGTGACAAATATTTAGGTTCCATTTACACGCGAATTGCGATTTTTCATACACCAGTGAAAACCTCATTAAACCATAATTAACAAATTAATGAATTTTTTACAAAGTTACAAATTAAGTAACTGCGGATTAATTCCGCAATGACGTTCTTTAGAGACTTTACGACCATTTTACGTCCCATAAAAAGAAAATTACCATAGCGGCTATAAACCAAGCGTGCCTCCGCACTTCTGACACAATTTTGAAAAATTTTTCAGAGCTTTCTAGACAGAAGACGGTCATTTTTTGCCAAAATTAATTATTCGAAAATGGCGTGACCGCACTTTTCCTCCGAATCACGATTTAAATAGTTGTTACACAAAAACGTGGGTAAAAAACTGAAGATAACGCGGAATTATGCACGAAACGACCTTGCGGACCCCAGAATTTTTGGCGCCGGCTATTTGCGTTCGATTTTGAAACCGGAGCTTCGAATTTGGTTTTGTTTCTGCGTTCGTCGACCTTTCGAATTTTCACTGTGATTAATCCGGAAGTTTTCGGAGGTGAAACAGTCGAAATTAATCCGGGTTTGCTCACCTTGAAAATGAGGAAGTGTGACGTCGAGTCGTCAGGAGGAAATTTATTGGAAATTATAAAGATAAAAGGGAATGAATTTGTGCGTGTTCTTATGAAAATAACGAGAAATGGCGATAAGAGCGACTTGATAACGCGATCAAACGCAAAATTTGAACTTGAAAATGCTCGAAGTCAGTGTCAGGGAAAAATTAAACAAGATTTTGGCTTCGGAAACAGCTGTTTCGACGCGCCGATTCGTAAGCCATAAATTTTTGTTTTATTTCGGGCTTAAGATTTGTGTGCTTTTAATCCTGATTAAAGTCGGCTTTATTGCTTTATACGTAACGGGTACAGAGTTCTGTCACAATTTAGATCTGAGGGATATAGGAGCTTAGAGAAGATTGTTCGACGAAATCGGATTAATTTACAAAATTCAGACGGTGTTGGCGCGAATAAATTAGCACGAGACAAATTATTATGATTGGTAATTTACTGACCATAAGCTAGTTAGGAGCTAAACAGGTTTTTGAGTGGTGTGTCGACACAAATCGTGTAAGTTTTGTTAAAGCGCCTCCGGGTTTTTTACCGTTAAAGTGCGGAAAGCCTGGAGGTTGGAAAATTGTTGAATTTAAATTACACATGAAAAAGATTTTGGAGAAATATTCTCGGGTTACGAACTTTCTCCGGATGTTTTAGAAATAAAAATATTACGGTTTGGAAAAGTCGTCATGATAAATTTTCGTGTCTAAATTAATCATTTTTCTATTACATGAGTGACTAAGTGGTGATAAGGTAAGGCATAAAAATACTACTTTTAGTGATAAAGATAACGGGAAAATCAGAGTGCATACATGCGTTATTATGACGTCGCTATGACGTCACTGTGGTTGGTATTATGAAAAAATTTCTATGATTATAAATTTGAGATGAAAGAAATATAAGGTAGTTCAGATTTGTTTTCTCTGACACTTAGTTAAAGAGAATTTCCTTTAAAATGAAAACATCTGTCAGCGATTCATATATCATTTGTCCTTTCGTTCAACTGTTATTCCGGTGCCAAGTTGTCAATCAACCAAGTTTTAAATTTTACGGTGAACAAAGTCCTAAATAATTAAGCTTTAAAAATAAATGAAAGATTTAATTTAGTTTAATTTTTTATTTCAATTAAAAATCTAGAAAAAATTTAAAAACAAAAACCACAAACACGAAACGAAAAAAATTCCGTCCGGAAAATATTTGACGACGTCATGTTGTTAAGCAGCTGATTTCGGTTAGTTGTGGCGTTTTGACCTTTATTAGTTATAATTAATATTCGTTTAAATTTTGTAAATATATTCATCACTAGTGACATCATGGACGGCATAATTTACCTAAAAGATTAACACAAGTAATGTGTGAAACAAAATTATTTACCCGATAATTGAAGATCTTAAATTCTATAGAATTTTTGCGTAAACGAGGTCTTAATACTAAGATTCACAACCAAAATAGTTTTGCCTATATGAACAAACGATCAAGAAAAATATACCCAATAATTAATTTTCGGTAGGCAATTTTTTCTAAAATCTGTGTTACAGTTTTTGTGGGTTAAAGTTAAATTTAGGCCCGCCCACCCACCCGTTCCAAAATAAGAAATAAGTCTTGTGGTTATTAGTGTAACAAAAAAATTACGGTTAGCAATTTTTTTCTTCTTTAACAGCCCCAGTCCCATTCTACGAAAAAATATATATAATTAACCCCGCCCACCCACCCGCCTCCAATTCAGTAATTAATTTAATCTTGTTTGAAAGATTGTGGATCCCATACTGAACTGAAATAAAATTAGTCCTTAGAAAGAAAAGAGAATTTCACAATTTCATAAAATTTTTTGTGAAAAAAAAATGATCTCAGATTTTCTTGCGAATTTTTAAATATTTTGTGGTTTAATTTCTTCAAAAATTTCCACAGTTTTTCAAAAGTAACCAAAAGTAACCAAAATGGAATGTGACAATTTAGAGATATTTTCAAAAATCTTGAAATCCAGTTAAAATTTATCGACTTTGTTTTTTTTATGAATGTGTGATTCAATTTAAAAAATATCCAAAAAAAACTGTCATATTTCAATAAAATTTTAGAAATATCCGGTTTGAAATGCAATTTTTTAAAAGCATTTTTTCTTCTATAATTGCTAAATTTTTCGAAAATACACAAAATAAAATGAGACAAATTTTGAGCTGTTTTAAAAATGTAACTTTGAACCATAATATCTCAAAAAATCTGTAGAAATATCGACTTTAGATTCTTGTTTCTGACAGATGAATAATTCCAGGGCAAACACGATTTTTTTCAGAATTTTTGACCAGCGGGTTTTTCCAGATTTTGTGACTTCGCAGTTCAGAAACTGTTCAAAATATCGATAACGAAATGAATTTCTGAAAAAATGGTAGAAGCAACGAAGAAATCAAATCGAAAGTAACTTTGGAAGCCGAAATGTACAGGAACATGGCTTTGATTAAGTTTCGAAAATGGCTGATAAATTCCGAAATTTTGAAGTTTTGAAAAATTTGGATTTTGAAAAATTGGCCTAAAAATCCCCAAAAAATATGGGATTTAGATTTCGACGTTTTGTTTCCATAAATATGATTCCAGCGAAGATTTAAGAAATATTCGGTTTGCAATGTAATTTTTTTAAAACTCGCAGAATTCAATGGGCGATTTTGGAAAAATGGTAGGCGTTATGGAAGAAATGAGACCGAAAGTAACTCCCGCAGTTCAAAAGTTAGAGGTAATTTTGGTCAAATTTTCAAGCTAGTCGAAAATTTTCAAAATTTTGAAGCATTGAAAAATTTTGGTTGTGAGGAAGTTGTCTAAAAATCCTCAAAAAAATTCTGGGACATACATTTCAACATGCCGATTCGAAAAATAAAGCGTTTCTATTGTCCCGAGATAATTTTTTAGAAATATTCGGACTGAAATGCAATGTAAACAAAATCCAAAAATCCGTCATATTTCAATTTCTGAAAAAATAGTAGAAGCAACGAAGAAATCAAATCGAAAGTAACTTAGGAAGTCGAAATGTACAGGAAAATGGCTTTGATTAAGTTTCGAAAATGGCTGATAAATTCCGAAATTTTGAAGTTTTGAAAAATTGGCCTAAAAATCCCCAAAAAAATATGGGATTAGATTTCGACGTTTTCTTTCCATAAATATGATTCCAGCGAAAATTTTAGAAATATTCGGTTTACAATCTAATTTTTTTTTAAACTCGCAGAATTCAATGGACGATTTTGGAAAAATGGTAGGCGCTATGGAAGAAATGAGACCGAAAGTAACTTCCGGAGTTCAAAAGTTAGAGGTAATTTTGGTCAAATTTTCAAGGTAGTCGAAAATTTTCAAAATTTTGAAGCATTGAAAAATTTTGGTTTTAAAGAAGTTGTCTAAAAATTTTCAAAAAAATTCTTGGACATGCATTTCAACATGCCGATTCGAAAAATAAAGCGTTTCTATTGTCCCGAGATAATATTTTAGAAATATTCGGACTGAAATGTAATTTAAACAAAATCCAAAAATCCGTTATATTTCAATTTCTGAAAAAATGGTAGAAGCAACGAAGAAATCAAATCGAAAGTAACTTTGGAAGTCGAAATGTACAGGAACATGGCTTTGATTAAGTTTCGAAAATGGCTGATAAATTCCGAAATTTTGAAGTTTTGAAAAATTTGGATACTGAAAAATTGGCCTAAAAATCCCCAAAAAAATATGGGATTTAGATTTCGACGTTTTGTTTCCATAAATATGATTCCAGTGAAGATTTTGAAATATTCGGTTTGCAATGTAATTTTTTTAAAAACTCGCAGAATTCAATGGGCGATTTTGGAAAAATGGTAGGCGTTATGGAAGAAATGAGACCGAAAATAACTCCCGGAGTTCAAAAGTTAGAGGTAATTTTGGTCAAATTTTCAAGCTAGTCGAAAATTTTCAAAATTTTGAAGTATTGAAAAATTTTGGTTACAAAGAAGTTGTCTAAAAATCCTCAAAAAAATTCTTGGACATGCATTTCAACATGCCGGTTCG